TCAGACATTAGAGATGCAGCATGGATCCTAATTAGCCCTTGGTTTTCTCTTTAATCTGTATTTCCTCAGACACTAGAGATGCAACATGGATCTTTATTAGCCCTGGGTTACCTCATTGGTAGATATCTGTATCAGAGGAAATCTGGGATCACTGTAGATGATATGGAAACAGATTTGGAAGACAGTGTGGTGTCTGAACAGTTGAATGAAACCATTGGAGATGCTGTGAGAGTTATTAGTAAGTTTGTCAGCTCAGTGCACTATTTTGATGCTAACTAATCTTGTATATTACATTTGATCAATTGTTTTTTATATAAAGTTATCTAAATATAGATAAATTATAAACATTTACTTAATGATCAGTATTGTATACATTTTATACATAGTGATTGGACAAAGTTCTAAAACTATTTCCAAGCCTATTTTATCACTGCACTTTCATTTTCTTTCTTTACTTTCTTAATTTATTATAAGAAATAAATCAAATTGAATTCTGAGTAAAGTGGTTTTGTACACTATAGTATGTTTATCATTGTAAGTTACAAGTGTGATGCTAATTTACATATGAATACATAATCACCAATACAATAGATAGAATTTTGAAATCAATAACTTGTTTTCTTATTACTATAATAATAATTAAAAAGAACATAACATTCTGCTGTGACATTGCTTTTATATTAACATTTTTTATGATTTTATTTATTTAATATATTGTTGCAATTTAGAGTGCTGGATTTGTCTGATACCCCGCCCATGGGCGGTGTTTCAAATAGTGGGCGATGTTTTGGTCCACATATTGCCTGACTGAAAGAACAAACATCTTAACAGACCCCAATTTTGCCTTCCGACATCTAGCGCTATAATACTACATATGAAAAGTTACATTTATTAGTCCCCGTTCGAACGAAGTTTGAAAACAGGGACTTATAATTAGGTCTCCGTCTGTGCGTCCGCCCAGAGTCATATTTCAGAATTCCATGGACCGATTCCATTCATTCTTTACATGTGTCTAGTACTTCATGTGGGACATATGCACATACAGTGGTTTAGCGATTTGATTCAAAATGGCCGACTGGCAGCCATCTTGTTTTTGACTCCCATGTGCGAAGCACATAATGGGAGTCTTTGCAGTTAGTGTGTCTGTGTGTCTTGTGTGTGTGTGTATGTGTGTATGTGTGTCCGACTGTTCCACTGCTATCTCAAGAACCATACATCGGTTTTTGATGAAACTTGGTGCATAGATGCTCTGGGCCAATGCGCAGATTTGATTAGGTTTTGGTAAAAATCCATGCTCGTTAATTACCTAATTTGCATGATAATTAGCTGATTTTTAGCTGTTCTATGACTGTTACACTGATATCTAAAGAACCACTCATTGGATTTTGATGAAACTTGGTACATAGATGCTCTGAACATATGCGCAGATTTGATTAGTTTTTGGTAAAAATCCGTGCATATTAATTACCTAATTTGCATGATAATTAGCTGATTTTTAGCTGTTCCATGATTGTTCCACTGATATCTAAATAACCACTCATTGGATTTTGATGAAACTTTGTACATACATGCTCTGAACTAATGCTAGGTTTTGATTAGTTTTTGGTAATAATCCGTGGATACTAATTACCTAATTTGCATAATGATTAGTCAA